GACCTGATCCAAAGGAGCTTCCAACAGCTTTGCTCTTGCTTTGGTTGGTTGAGCTTCTGTCATGTTTCACGCAGTGTGAATGCTGCTGTTTTGGTGCCACTGAAACGTCTCTCTTGCACTGCTTTGATGCTGAACGTGGAAACTGAACAATTACACTCTTCTTGGCTGTTACCATATGGCATCTGAAGCTCATAATTTTCAATTCTGAATGTATATTTGTGAGCTACAGCAGAATTCACTGAGTAGCAAATGTAATAGGATTATTTGATATTCACTGTTGTTCCAGCTTCAGTTTTGCTGAGCAGTGAGGACAGCTAGCAGAAGGTGCAGGTGGCTGGGTAGAGCTTCTGAAATCACCTCAACCTAAATGTTGTTAGCTGTGCCTGTTTCATTCTGACCAGTTGTTTATACAATTTGTCATATCAGGCAGGTTTAATTAAAGCCAAAGGGCACTGTTTCTGATTGTTCAATTTAGATCAAAGCAGTATTTATTTAATAATGTGTATCTAGCCCACAAGTATTTGAGTTTAATTGCATCTATTAAAAATATATTAAACTATTTCTATAACTCCAATTGTCAGTTACCTCCTGTATTTAAAAATATTTAAATAATTAGTCTAAATTTGTCTGACTTGGGCTTAGTGCCATCATCCCTTGGCTAAACTGAGGAATAAGTTATTCAGAATACAGGCAAGCAAAAAAAATAAATAATAGACTGATGATTAATAGTGCTGATCCCAGTTAATTTTTCTAATCTATCTGTCAGGGGATTCATGCAGTTGTTTTTTTGTTTGCTTGTTTGTTTTTGTCATCTGAACTTTAATTGTACTGGTTTTTGTTTGTTTGTTTGTTTTCCCCAAATGCTTGGAGAAATGCATTTTATTAACTCATCTGCTTTTGTAGATGAAGTCTATGGAATGAAAACTGATGCTTTTGATTCTGTATCTGGTTACTTCATGTTCCAGGTTACCCCAAACCCTTCAGTTTGGGTCACAAATGTTAAATATCTGCTTCACTGACACAGAAAGCAGAATGATCAGTTGAAATATATTCATTCATACTCACTAGCTTTGTTTTCATTTATGTAAGAATCTAGAAACTCGTTATGTATATCAGGAGTTGAATACATATAATGTAGATGTGGGTGTGTTCACTTATTAAAATGCATGGAAAAAATGAGTTTGAATGTATTGGCTTTCCCTACAGCCCACACAATTTTTTTTGGCCAGTCTCTTTACAGAGCCTAAAGTTAAATTTTGTCATATGTACTTCATAAGCACTTTCACCATTTTCTGTGAGGTTATTATGTTTTTATGTCTTATTTACTGAAAAAGAACAGATGTGAAAGGGAAGGAAAAACAAAAAAACAGGTGAACAAATTAAAAACTGCTGTAGAATCAGGTCAGTTTTTTCTGTTTCAACTAAAATTGATACATCCCCTCAATCATGTTCTACTTAGATACATACATATGTCTGAACATTTTAATAGTGCTATATGATGTTATTTTCTAGACAAACTATTTGATGGATTTGTGTCAGCTACAGTATACAGATCTCTGTTCCATATTCCCTGTGTAACTTACTTCAGAAACCATTCAAAAATGCAGGATTGAGGATTCTGGCTTTGGCAAGCAGAGTATGGGATCTTGATGAGCTTCAGTCAAAAACAAATACAAGATATCAAATATTTTAAGCATGACGAAAACGTTTATGATCACCCACCATCATATAGTTCTTTTCATCAATTAGATCAGTTTGTTATCTACTCCTTAGCCTACTGAAAAGGCTTTGTCAGAACTTATCTGAGATTAAAATAACAACCAGAAAACAAAGAGAAGCAACCCAACCCCACCACAATAATTCATTTCCAAGGTAAAGTCATAGGAAATGAAAGATGTGATGAAAGGGAGGTGTCATAGCATTATACCAAATACCATTGTTACATTCTTCCAACAAATAAAAGTGCAAGAGGAAAGCTGTAGTAATCAACCAGATTAAAAAGAAATAGTAACAACGGTATCCTACTTCTTATCAACCTCATTTAATTTCACCTTTTAATGTATGTATGCTTAGGAATGTTAATTTCTGTAACAATTAATTATTCTTAATTTATTTGTCAACTGAATGCTATATTAAAGAGTAAAAATGTTTTAAGAACAAAACTTATTTTGTTATTTTTGTTTAGGGAATGTTTTTTCTTTAGACGGAAATTTAAAAAGGTAAAATGTGCATGTGTTTGAGCAAAAGTGTAACCAGAAAGAATTGTTTGTGGTTTTACCACTGACGTTTAGCATTGCTAGAGGATGCTCATGCTGTTAATGCTTTGCTTGAAAAGTAGGTTAGAAGTCATATGTGTGCAGCGATTATCTGCTTAGTCTCCTGACTTCCACTACTGTGCCTGTCTGAATGTTAAGCATGAGCAGAAATATGGCCCCTATCATGTTACATTGTTCTGTGGATCTTTTGTGAAGTAAGGCAGAGTTTTAGTAGCGCAAAGTTATAAAGATATAAAGTTATATTTAGTTATGAATTAAAAAAGAACTAGATCCAAGTGTGAATTGATTTGCTGAAAATAGCTTTTTATAGAAACCTCCCCTCTATCTGTGCTCTCTGTTTTCATTATCTTAGTATCTCATGGGTTTAGAGAGACTTTCGTTTTCTTATTCCACATTTCGAAAGGCAGAAGTTTCAATTTGATTTTCATAATGTTGTCACTGTCCAAAATCTGTCATCTAGCTAGAACTCAATTCAGAGTTAGAGCTAGAATTCAAATTGCAGTTTGATTTATAACAATTTATAACAGTTGATACAATAAACTTTCACTTGTTTGTTTAGTGGTCCTTAACCATATCAGTAGGTGTGCAGATTTCCCTTCTATCCTGAATCTCTATTATGTGACTATTGCTTTCTGTTTATGGAAACTTTCTACCTAATGTCCTTGCTAATTTTTTCATCCCACTGTGTCATGTTGAGAATAAGATATCTTCTCATGATTGAGAACAAAGCAAATAACCAAATGATTTATGCAGTTTTATTTAAGAGTGGTCTAGGAAAGTGTTCTGTACCTCAGTGCAGCATCTTCATGCAGTGATTTTTTTCAGTAGTTTATCACATTTAATTTCACTTAACAGATAACCATTTTAGAATACTGAACTCACATAAAAATAATAAATGTTATTAATTATTTAATTATCTAAAGTGAGAAATATGAAATATACTGCACACCACTTCAGTTCTGCATGTAAGAGCCCATGTTTCTTCTGCACAGAAAGGGTAAAGGTCAAAATGAGAGAATTAGCAACAGGAGATCTGTATTTTCATGGAGACTCAAGATAGTATTATGTTGTTGTGGTTCTGTATGTCACTTGGGAATTATTCAAGATCTTGTAGTTTTCCATGATATTGCACAATATTCTGAGTAATCGATTTAGTAGAAAATAACTTTTGAAAGTTGAACCTTTCTGCCATTTTGTTGACAGAAGTTGAGCCTACCTGCCATTTTGTTCTGTGTGTCAGATTGCAGAACGGCAATATGACAAAACAGCATTTGACATAGGAGTGTGTATAAAGCAAAGCTGTGGAACTGACTTCATCCATGAGAAAAACTTGCACCTGTTGACGTTCGTTAGTGCTTGGTGAACATTTATGGACACCCAAAATTGGCTGTGAGCAGAGTGAGGCAGTAGGTGGTGCATTTCAGTAATGGTGACAGGACAGAAGTCAGATTTTTACAAGCGTGGCCTGCAGGCTTTTGTTCATCACTGGAAAAAATGCACGGCTAATGGTGATGTTTTGTGTTTTGTAGCTGAGAATTTGCTCTATCCAAAAGTGTTATTTTGCTCTTTGTGTTGGTTGTTGTTTCCATGGAAATAAATAGGAAGCGTTACTTTCAGAGCAACCTGCGTAGAATCCCACTGGAAATCTATTGTAGCTGAATGTTTTTCATAATTAAATCATTCACAAACCCATTCTAAGTACTTTTAATGTCATTGTTTTTACTGCTTCTATTTGGAAATGTAGATTCTAAATTAAGTTTAATCTTGCAGCATTCCTGGTATTTCATATAATATTATCAGGTTTCTACTTTACAGTAGAAAATTGTTACATTTAAAAAATTACTATTTTACTGTTATTTTCTCTGAAAATAAGCTGAAATGATGGCCAGGAACATGACAGAAATAAAAGGCAGATATTTCGCGTTGTCAGATGGAAAGGAAGGTTATTTTTCTTGTATTCCCAATTAAATGATACAGTGATTTTTGCTTAAAAGAATGCTCAGTCATAAGAACAAGTAACATGTTTAGAAATGTGGTGGGTGGTGTGGGAGTGGAGAGAATTACATGCAAAAATTGGAAGGAGTGCTTTGTCATTTGAAAACTTACTCAGTTAACAAATTTGTCAAAGAATGTGAGGAATTTTAGAAATGAAAATAATTAGTGACATCTTTAGTTCTGGCCAGAAGTGATAACAAAATATTTGTGACCGAGAAGTAAGAGCTGGCAAAGAGGTTGGAGCAAGTTGCACAATATCGTGAACAACTGAAAGTTTATCTATTTGGTACCCTTTGGTTTTGTTTTTTAAACCGGAAACATACATGTTCCTAAGTTGGTGAACTGTCTTGGGAAATTTGATGAATTACTTTTTTATGAAGGAATTTGACACATTTTCTGTGTCAGGCTGGAGATGACTGTATAGATAATTTTAGCTGTAACATTACAGATAACTCTTTTATCTTAGAGAACTTTATTTTAGATACACCAGTGCATGGCTTTATGGTTGAGTCTTTACAAGTTGAACTCCCTAGAAGCTTCTTTATGGAGTTCAGGCAACTGCTGGAATGTGTTGATGTTTGTTGATGTCACTGCTAGTTTCAAACAATGTATGCATTTCCTTTCCAATTAGCAGTGCTTTTGAAGTTTTGACAGCAGTTAACTTCTCGTAAGAATGCTAACAATTCACTTAGCGATTGCTTATTAATTGAGATGTTTCTTTTTTTCAAGGGAACGAAAGAAACTGAAGGAGAAGAGGAGTCTGGTTTAATTGCGCCTGCTGAAGTCTTTGCTCCTAAGAGTCTGGTGCTTGTGTCCAGACTAGATTATCCAGAAATTTTCAGGGTAAAGAACTTAGCATTGCCATTTATAATGTCTGTCAGCAGACAAATCTGTTTTTAATGAGCAGCAGTGACTTAAATTTTGATATGAAATGACTCAAGATTGACTTGGAAATTTAACAGCAAAAATCGATTTAGAGTGAGCTAGATAAAATTCAATTTCTGAGACAGTAAATAGCCCCTCTAGATTAGAACATTGCTTTTTTTACTCTCCAAGTAATTCTATATCTTTGTAGAAGATGAAAAAATAAACTGACCTCAGAAAAATCTCTATATAATGAAGGGAATTATTAGGACAAAACCTGACTTGCTCAGGTAAAAATAATGCATTAACAAAAATTGATTAAATATTTAATGGTAAATTAATAGTGAAACCTTATTTTCTTCCATATGTAAGGTAAAAATGTCAGAGCCTCTTCCAGATCAAATTAAAAAAGCCTGACAGAGATTTAGGATCTTGGATTACTTTCAGCTGTTGAGATATGGCTGATCAGAGATAAATTAAAAGCTCAAATTTTTATTAAGCTAATATATATTAACAGAAACAAACATAATTCAGCTAACAGATCAAGCTGGAAAATCACTCAGTGGTAAGTTGTCAGTAGAGATGAAGAGTGACGGCGTCAACTCAGACAAAAATTCCATGTAAGTGAATGCATCGTCTCTGCTTGTGGCCTTTAGCGAATGCAGAGCAAAGTGTGTAGAAAGAGGGTAGGCTGTAGAAATAATTCCACTGAATACTTTCCCAGACCAATGTGAATTATAGTTTAATGACATCCTGAACCAGAGGTGTCAACTGTATGATTTTTTTTGTATAATTTGTCCAGTTTCTTGACTCTTGATTTTATAACATCTCATGGCAAGGGATTTCATAGCTTAACTATGTGTTATATGAGAAGTTACTGTTGGAAGCATGTCTACGAAGAGAATTCCAAAGATATTTACGGAATTATCAAAATTATAGCAGTTAAAAGGCACCAGAAGGATGTTGTGGAATGGAGTTATTTTATTCAAAGGCTTTTTGGAACATAATGCTAAGTCATTTTATGTTGAGTTTAAAACGATAAAGATGCATCTCCAGTTTCTCAATCAAAACCAAATCCATGAAAAACAAGTTCAGAAATGTTGAAATGTGAATATATTTATATTCACTCATTTAAAATATGTTTATATTGAAATAATAAAGTTAAATAATATGAAGGGCTGTCGAGTCTTAATGCTAGAATCTGAGGAGCTCATTGGTTCATCTGTGTTTTACTCTGAAAACTGGTCAAATTTAGGTCCAGATAGTTCAGATTGCAGATGAAGTTATGATAATTTTACAAGTATGGTCATTTTAAAAAAGCAATTATTAGCAAAACACTTTTTATATAATTGAACAAAGCAAAAATACTATTCAAAAACGTTGAATTTCTTGTTATGAAAGATTATATTTGCACCTGCCAGCACGTATGTTGCTTTTATGTCCAAGTTCTTTTTTTTAATGAGTATTTACTTCTATAGCGTGTTTGATTGGAACATCCTTCACTACATTAATCCCTATTAGACACATTTATGTTTTAAAAACTATATGCATATCTTTAAATAATGTCAAATCTGCATTCCCTGTATTTAGATTTCCTGTGTTTTTGTAGGCTTGCCTTGGACTGATCTATACTGTGTATGTGGACAGCCTGAATGTGTCCCTGGAGGCTCTCATTGCAAATCTCTGCTCATGCCTTGTCCCTGCTTCTGGAGGGTCTCAGGTAAATGCAAAAAAAAAAAAAAAAAGAAAAGAAAAAAAAAAGGTATTTTTCCAGTTAATTGAATTTATGAAGAAAACAAAAAAAAAATTCTTTAAATATTTTTGTTGAAAAAAAGATCATAGTTCAGCTGAGTGCTTTCCCTGTGGCCTGCGAGTGCTTTCCCTGTGGCCTGTCTTCTAAAGAGAGCAAAAATTCCATTCCAGTATGAGGTCAAAGGGTTAATTTTGTCACTGAGTTGGCTTTTTACAAGGCACAGTAACAAATCAAGCAGTTTGTATAAGTTTAGTTTTTAATAATAACTCATGTTAAGGAAAATCTCTGTTGCTATATATATGTATTAAGAAGATTTTTTGTTGTTGTTTGTTCATTTTTTTTCTTTTACATATCCTTTGTTTTAATTCATTTACCTGTGTCTTTTTCTTCATGCTGTTGAGTGTACAATTGATCTTTCCTTCGGTAACTGTTTTAAGTTTCTGTTTCAAAAAGCATCACAAAGCAAAAAAAAAACCCAGAACATTTAGCATGTTTTGTTGGTTTTTTTTCTTTTTTCCTTTTTTTTTCTGAATTGAATATCCCAGGTAGCCCACACATTTAAAAATGACAGAGAAGTTTGTAAATACACTTCTTTCTCTTTTTCCTTCGGCTTTCTATGAGCAAAAAGTCAGATTTGTTTCTTGATTTACTTAAAATAAATTATTCCTATACATTAATAGGTTTCTGACAGCCAGTTGGGTGTTATTTGCTTGATCTTTATGCTGTGACATTATAGGGAAATTGTTGCCTTATCATGAAACACATCTGGAAACTAAGAATGCAAATGGAAATATTTAAAAGTGGATTTCATATGCATTTTCTCATGCTTTGTATCCAATCTATGGATTTTCAACCTTCTTGAAGTTGTACAAGTCCTTAATTCTTTTCTGTTTTTCCTGGAATTTCTCTTTAAGGTAAATGTAGTAAAATCTCCTTTTAGCCTCATCAGATCTACATGATTGCTCCCTAAACTTTCAGTTTTGAAAGGAAGTAGTTAGATAATATCTCTTTTTTTTGTCAGAAACCCTCTTTTTAGTGGTATTTTAACCTCATGTTAGAGGTTTTGGTGGTCCACTTGGACTTCTGGCTCTTTTTTCTGTCCCCTTTTCTTTTTTCCTTTTTTCCTCTCTGTCCATAAGTATGATTTTTGTCACTGGCAATATCTTCTGCTAGAAGTCAGGGAAAATTTATGTTTCACCTTCTGCTTTCTTTCTTAAAATGAAATGATCTTTCACTTGCAACTTAAATTCGTTGATGTTAAAATTCCATTTTAACCAGAACATCAGTTTTTCTGTTTTCTTTCTTAAACTTGTGCTTCCAGGGCTAAATCTAAATTGTGTGTCTTAGAATGGAAACACTCTTTTGATGCTTATCTCCAGAAGTCTTCGAAGGGCCTCCCAGGTTGTTTGTGTGCCCAGTGCTGAAATGATCAACTGCAAAGCTAGTTACTAGCCTGTATCCAGGTCTGCTGCTTAAGTGCTGGGCAAGAGGGTCTCTGCCATAGCTCAGGGACTTACTTGGTTTTACTGTGGAATGTTTTGCTTTCAGACATCTGCTGTGCAGCAACTGGCATTTGCTACCTTCATGCTTTCAGTTGTCTTGAAAGCAGGATTAATTTGCAGTTATAATACTTTTTGAACTGTGATACACAAGTGTATTCCTTTCACTCTCATTTCTAGTCTGCCTTGTTGGGGGCATGTTCTTGTGCTGCAAAGGTAACTGAAGTTCTAATTCTACTGAAATATTCTGAGTGGGAACATAGGACTAGCAGGAGAGTGCTCTTCAATATGCAGATGTCACTTGGGAAAAAAATTTAGTCTTGTGATGGAACGTGAGTGTGGGCATGCGGACAGCACATATCAAAAAACCTTCAATTACAAAATAACGTAGTTTTTCTGAATTGAATGTGTTGTAATTTTTTTTTTTTCTGGAGGGTTTTTTATTGCACTGTTAAAAATATAATATTGAATGCCTTCAAAGGCATGACTCACAAGGAAGACATTATCACACTATGCATTCAAGAGGTCATATACTGACCTCAAATTATATTTTGGATCTATGTTAGTTCAGTTATTCTTACTGATTTGAAGATTCTGTATGCAAAAGAAATAATTTTTACAGGATGAATCACTTTATCTGTATGACAATAATATGTTTATTCTATATAAATTAAATTTATACTAAAAATATGTACATTTGTTTCTACAGAAATTGTTTTCTTTGGGAGCTGGAGACCGACAACTGATACAGACTCCTCTACATGATAGCCTTCCTGTTACAGGCACCAGTGTGGCTCTTCTCTTTCAGCAGCTGGGTACGTCTAGGTCTGCTCTGCTCTGGGGGAGGTGGGGAAAATAATAAGAATTCAGAGAGTAAATTATTTTCTGTTCATATTCAGCTTATATCCTGTGCCAAGAAAGCAACATGGTCAATATTAATTTGTTTTGAATGAAAGAATGACTAATAGTGCTTTTATCCCCTAATCAGGCATTCATATGTCTTTTCATATGTCTTGCCTGTGGTACAATAGCTCCAATGTTATCCACTATCTGCAAATGTATTATAAATGGAGGTGAGCTTCTCAATTATGGTAACATTCATGTAAAAAGAATCTCTACCCCTTGGGTACTGTTCAAACTGAATAAAACCCAGTAGGTTAAAAACAAACTAGTAAATGAAAAAGTTGCTAGAAAAGGTACCAGGCACTGATAATGTGGAATACGTTTTCCCAAGTCATAGAAAATAATTTTGAGTGATTGGATTTTAAAAAAGTAGCTGTACTCAGGCACATGAGAAGAGAAACAGAAGCATTTATTGTTTAAAGTGAAGTGCTTGAATGCTTCTGAAACGGTGAAGAGATTTTAGTCTGTGCTGTAACGTCTGTTGCTGACCGTCCATAGTGAAATTATTCCAGTCAAAACAGTAGTAAGTTATGTTTCCTACTCCAGCTACTTGTAAGACCTAGTGATTTTGGAAGTGGAAAATCCTCTAGACAACAGAAGATTTCATATGGTGTATCTGTCAAAGTCTATATCAAAGGAATTGATATCAGATCTGATAAATACAATATAAATACTTAATTGCATTCTTTCAGTATTCTTACAGTATTATTTCAAAGTATTCCAAGAGAAATATTAATATTTTGTGGATAAATGCAACTAATGTTATAGATGCTGCTTATCCTGACCACAGTTTCTGAGGTTTTACTTTGCTTATTATACCAAGATTCATTCGAATTAGACTGAGCACACCACAGGCAATGGTTTAATCATGGAAAGGCCCCAAAACAACTTTCGCTTTGGTGAAGATGTGAATTGTGACATTAGTCACAGTATGGTATGGTATGCTTGTTCTATTAGTGTGCTATGAGGTACCTAAGACGAGGCAATATATTCTAGGGCAATGGTAGCAAAGGTTACTGCAAATTCTCAGTTCTGAAAATGTCAAAGGAAGCAAGGTTTTTAGCTAATGCTTGGACAGATTAGTTACTGTGTGACACATGGCTTTTGTATGGCAAATTGGGGTTGAATTATTTTATGTCACAAGATCAAACTGAGATAATGAAGACAAACCATTTCATGCGTCAGATTTATAAAGAGAAACTACGTAAGGAGAGAGTGGGAATGTGAGTATGGAAGGAAAACCAAAAGTACCGTCTCTTCCTCTCAGATTCTTAGTAAGGTCAAGTGTGCAGATAGAGCCTTTTAAATCCCACTCATTTTGTATAGAATGAAATAATAACACTTTTGTATGAGAATGTAATATCGCTTTCAGATGGAATTTAAGCTGATATTATTAACCACATTTTATTAATGGATAAATATGGGCTCACTGATGTCATGTAACTCCCTGAAGAGTTGCTATAGAAGGGTATTAGAGAGTTTAAAATGTAACTAAAATGCTTAGTGTAATACTCTAGCCATCGCTAACACTTTAAGTCTTATTTTTTGGAATTGTTTAATTCCTTATTATATCATTTATGCTCTGCTGTTGTATACCTCTGACTTACTTTTTGTCTACCATCTCTTCTGTTACCATTCTCACTTAGTTTTTTGCTGTAAGCATTCTGGTTTCTATACTTCTGCTTTTTTTCTTCCTCTGAGTTGCACTAAGTTTTGGAGTTCTGATCTTTCTTGTGTTTTAATAGCATATAAGGAGTACAGGAAAGAGTCAGTAAGCACAAATACACCATGTACCCATTCCAGGAACACTGCACGGAAGAATATGAAAATCAGCAGGAGAGGGAAAGGGAGAAAATGCAGGAGAAGTTCCTTATTACTCACAGTTCTGATTAGTGACACTTCATGTTGGCCCATAGAGAGAGAGAGAAAGAGAGAGAGAGAGAAGAAGGTATGTGAGATAGATAGAGGGAAGTTTGTGATTATAAAACTTGGCATAGAAACTGCAAGCTTGCATCCCATTTCTCTGAAAAGATGATACAAGTTCCAAAGGGAGGGAAAAAAAAAAAAAAAAAGAATGATTCCATGCACCCTGTCTTTTTTATTGTAACATCATTTTCTCATTTCCTCAAAGCCCCAGAATTTTTGTAAGAGCCTAACTGATGTTCTTGTGTGGCATTTCTTCCTGTCTCTCTCCTATTCCTTGGTGTGATGGAGAACAGGAATCTTTTAAAATTCTGCAGCATGGGAATGTCAGTTCCCAGCTGATGTCTCTTTCAAAGTTTTTTGGGTCTCAGTATCTGAGGGTATATAGCATGATGGTAGAATCTTGTATCTTACAAATTAAAAAATGTTAGCATTGTGTAGTGTGTATCACTTTAAAGAATGGCACATGGCTCCTTTGACATGTAGGTGGTATACATCTTTGATAGCGTTGTTATGTTCTTCCAAAGGCAAGGTTTGTTGATGTGAAATTTCTGTTTGGATGTACTGAAAAAGTGTTGTCAATACAGCTGCAGATAGCTATCTGTAATGGTTGTGGAATATAAAACGTTCTGAATTTATTCTTACTTCTTATATAAACTTATGTGTAGCATTAATGGCAGGAGTCCTGAAAGAATCTATTAGCCTATCCCTTTGAAAAAAAATTGGTTTTTTCTTCTTTTTTTTTTTTCTCTAAGGTAAAGTCTAATACTTTTCTTTAGATGCCATAGCCTATTAGAAGCCTTTTGAGCTTTTTGCTGATAGTAATGCTTGTTCTGTTTCTCTGGTACTTATCCAACCTAGCAAAATCATTTGACTTCCATTGTCCAGCATGTTGTTGGCTAGTTTAATTTGATGATAGCTATGATCCCATTATTTGCCTATGTTCAGAACACAAAGATTGACTAGGCTGTTTGTTGAGTAACAATATGTTCTGTTGTTTCTCTTCCGGTACAAGTCATTTAATCCTATTTGAATTACTAATAGAAAATTGAAGAGTAGTTAGAAAAATATTTGTGAATTGGATAAATCACCTTTTTAAAAATAGCTCTTTCTTTGAGAAAGATGGGCGACAAGACAAAATTTACCACTATGAATAGATACAAAAGTAATTTCAGCATTTATTTTGAGAAATATTGTGCAATAATAGTCTCATCATGCTTTTTCTTCTTGGCAGGATAATATGTCAGAAGATGACCCTCCCTATATTACCAAGTTTACAGCATATCTGGAAATAGACTTTGCTTTTACTTGGGCCACAAACTACAGTTGGGAAAAACATCCCCAATGGCTTTAAGCTGTAATAATGAACATCAGTCTTTGACACTTTAAATCTTACATTCTATTTATTTCAAAAAACGTAATGTATGAGAATAACGTGACAAGAGCCAGGCATGTAGCTGGATCACTACACCTAAAAAAAATATTTCATCAGCTTAGAATAACAGTAATCATGAAGCTGTGTTTATGAATGGTCCATGATAAGCAGAAGTGTTTAAATACTCTTCTGTTTCTCCTTGCCTATTAGTGAGATGTTAGATATCTGTAAAAGCTCTTTTGGGGATTGAAGGAGATTTTTATTATTGTTGTCTTCTAGTCCCTCTCACTATATTTACAATACGTTCCTGTGTCTCTGCTTTGAACTCTTTCCTTCTCCAAATTCAAGTACTGCTTGCCTGCTTCATTCTGGTGTTGTTATTGAGCATGGCTTTCTTTGGTCATTTGTATTTGAGACATACACCTACATCCTCTCAATGGACATCATTTTCTAATGAACCTAAGGCAGAAAACTCTATCAGAGACCTCAGTGATATATGTCAAAGCAAGAAGCTCAGCTGTAATTAGGACTTTTAATTTTTGCCTGTTTCAACAACTGGCAGTATGAATCGCACTGCTGAGCTGCTCAGAACAATTAAGAAACAAGATGTTCCTTAAAAATTAATGTTTTACCCTACTTTCCAAACTGAAGACAAGGGTTTTCCTTCATTTGCTTATTGCTTGGTCTCTTACCTGGGCTGCCCTTCTATCCTCACATTTCCTTTGCTCCATTCAGTAGACCTCAGACCTGTGGGTTTGTCTAGCTAGATGGATTTGTTGCTTGTCACCTGCCTTACCTTGACCTTACTACCATTTCTGGTCCCTGGCAGCTAGTGGTCTTCAGTTTCCACTGTAAACATACTGAAAGAGTCAAGGAAGACGATGTTTTGATATTGATTCTTAATGATAGCTTTTGGTCCCTGTGCTGTTAACAACCAAACCTTGCAATTTTGACAGGAGATATAGTTATGGACCCCTTTGGGACCTACTTGCCTGGTACAGTTTCATCCTAAGGAAGAAATTTTTCTTTACCTTAGAACATGCATGCTGGTCAGATTGTCAGCATGCTGAAATAAAGCTGGCTTCATTTGTTAGTAAACTTTCTAACATATTTTGCCTCTCATAGCACTACCTCAAAAATCATGATGTGAGCATAATTGTTCATAATTGTTTATATATCTCAAGGATAAACAACACAGTACAGCAACTGTTGACCTATGGAGTAACAGAGAAATGATCTGATGGAGATTATCTAGAACATTTCATTTCAATTCTGAGAAAAAGAATTGGTGCTGAGTCAGACATCAGCATCACTACACAGCAGAGAATTTCAAGCACTTTGCTTTCCTGAAAAAAAGAAAGACTTTGTAGTCTGTCAACTTTCATTGTACAATTTTAGGTGCAAATTAATAGACAGTGAGTAATTAACAAAGCTGCTACAGTTAAGCTGCATTGTATACAGAATAGAGGCTAAAAAGGGTGACTGAGTGCCATGTGCATCTTAAAAGTAAGAGAACCTGAATGTCTTATGAGGAGTGGCTGAGGGAGCTGGGATTGTTTAGTCTGGAGAAGAAGAGAGATCTTTTCACTCCCTACAGATACCTAACAAGAGGAT